CCAATCATTGATCCATGACCAAACTCTTTGCTGAAGTATCTCTTACTCCTAGAATAAATTGTCATGCGAGTCAAGAAAACGAAAAAGAAGAAAGACACAAATGTGAAACAAAATCAACTCAGTGACCAAATTATCACAAAACAAGAGGATATTATCACAACTTAGATTACAAAATGAGAAATGCAGGTATGAAAAGGATCATGCTGGCTCTGTTTAAGTCGCCTTTCGATTGACTTTCAGGTAGGGTAGAGCACCGATTACGTTGTCATAGTCGCTCCGGCTCACTTCGGTCTGCATTACAGAAGACATAACTGACAGTTAGACATGTAATAGAAAAATGCAGAGCAGTGAAGTTGCTAATGAACGAAGCCAAAACAACTAATAACTAGAACACTTGTGATCATGAGATAAGTTCTTGTTTTTTTCATTTCTACTGGTTGAAGATATCAGATTTCTTCCTAAGTCACATTCCTAATGGAAGCCAATTGCAGTAAATCTCAATGCATCCATATCGCAAAAGTATCGTGCTAGTAGCTTTTATCCCCATCGTTTCCTACCGATTCACACCTATTACTGAATCACTCAACTAAAGCCACTCACAACTAATTGCCTAAGGTTGAAAAAGCTGAATGCATTTCACACACACAAAACTATAATACCCTTCAAACACATGTAGAATCAACAATGAACCTAATGGAAAAGAAACATTGTGGTTTGCAAACAGAAACAGAATCAAAGCAGTAAATCCTTTGTTAAAAAGAAAACCAACCATTTTCGATAGACGCAATTTCCTCTTATTGTTCTTCTTAGCTAACAAGTGCTGCTTTCCTGATCTCCTCCTCACTATCTTCCCCCTACCCGTCACCCTGAACCGCTTCGCTGAGGCCTGTCAACAAATACATTATGCATTTTCATTCAACAAATCCTAACAACAACAATCAACAAAAGAGAGCAATCAAAAATTGTCAAATGCTTTTTCCACCCAACAAAGACACAAAGATAATCAATGAACCTAAGCAAAAATCTAAACTTTTTCGAAGCTACTAAACAAATCATTGAAATTCTCAGAATCTTACTCGTCTTCTCAACTAATTAACCCTAAAAACCCAGAAATACAGAGGAAGAGGAAAAAGACCTTGTGGGTCTTTATCTTGTAGCCCTTATGAGCGAAAACGGTAAGAGACTGAAGCCTCTGAGAATTAGGAGAAACAATTGACGAAATCTTCTGAGGAAAAACCGCACGAAGCCCAGAAATGCAGTGAGTTGAGGTAAGAATCGACGACGAGTCAGCGACCTTGTTGAATCGAGCGAATTGAACGAAGCCGTGAGTGGAAACCTTTGGAGAAGAGGGTAAAGGACATAACCTAAAGTTAACGGAAGCAATGGAGAGAGAAGCCATTAGGGTTTGTGCTCTCGGCGAGATATGATCTTTTGCACTCACTGCTATATTGCAAAGGGAGGAAGAAGGTGAAACAGATTGAAGAAGATAAGCTTTTTTGCTCAGAGCGATCGATGGATAGAGAGAGAGAGTGAACGGATGAGAGAATAGTAAGCTCGGTCTTTTCCGGTTTGTACGGTTCAGATAATCCAATTAATGTGCAAACCGGGATGCTCAAATTTCTCCCTTATATATTAATTGGAGAGTGATTTGCTCATGTGTCTTCACCAAAATCACTTTCCCAAATTAAATGTGATATGACATTGTAAAAAATATGACATGGCATTATAACTCATTAATCCCTAACTAAATTAGCTCAAACTCATTAAAAAAAATTTGGCTAACATAAATTATTAGCCCAATTATCCAACACAATTAAACATAATCTTCACTTTACATAATGGATGACGACCATAATTATGATATCAATTCAATTAGTCCAAATTCATTAAGAAAATAGGGCCAACATCAATTATTACCTCAATTATCCAACACAATTAAACATAATCTTCACTATATATAAGGGATCACAGCCAAATTTTTTTTATATCAATTCAATTTGCTCTCAAACTGTTTTTCCGATTTTCTTGCTTTTTTAATTTTCTTAAAAATGGAAATTTCCATCAAAGGTAAAATGAAATTTTTTCTGTTTGATCAAA